CTGTCACAGTGAAGGAATTTCTCCTATTCATTCAGGCTCATTCAGGCTCATGCATCAGTATGTGGACAATGATTGAAAACAATTTTTTGGGTGCAAATGAATTCTCATTTTAATTCTGTAAAAATAAGATAGAACCAACTTGTCAGCCAAAAATTAGGGAAACAGTCATTTCTGTCTTTCAGCTGGCACACACCTGAGCTTCTCTGTTTGAGGCTTCTCTGGGACTTAGCACTGGGAGAGAGAGTTGTGCTCCAACTGCTGGGTGACGGGTAGCTAGAAGAGCCCTCAAATGCAAAAATAATTCCCATTACCACAGGGACACATTGCAGGTTTCGCACAATCCCTTATCTAGAATGGCTGGCCTTTAAAAACGATGAAATGTTCTCAAAATAGCCAAAAAAAATCAGAGACAGAGACTGCAGTACCACAAGATAAGAAACATCTGTGAAGGCATGAACAATTGAATCATCTTCTGTGTGACTGTATTAAACATTCAATAGGCTAAAAACCAAAGAAAATCCAAAGCAGCTCTGGAGGTGGCTTGATATTTGCTGCAGTTGTTGGTAAAATTGCAATCTTGCAGTTGTTGTGACAAATCTTTAAATTACTCCCAATTATTGTATCCAACTTCAAAACTATTTTCTGCTATCTCTTTATAGGAAATAGAACACCTTGTTTCCCTGCTTGCTGGGATATCAGTATTGCATTGTTTTTCCAAAAAAGGAGCTTTAAATCTGAAATATCAGCTCTGTGGTCCCTCAAAGGGAAAGGTCCTTTGTAGCAGATTTGGTGGGACAGTAATTTCTTCCAGGCTTGAATGATTTAATTGTTTCTGTCTTCACCTTCCTTGAACCCACTCGGGGTTTTCATCCAGCGATGAAAATACCATTCAGCAAGTTGTTAACGTTATCATCTCAAGTTGCTGGGATCATATATTCTGCAACCTCAGCCGGGCTGTCAACACAAAAGAGTTTCACCGGCTTGTTGCCGCTGAGAGCCAGAGGGCCGGCTGCCAGACAAATTAAGATCCTGAATTAGAAACCAGGAGGTAACTGCACTGCTGCGGGGTTAACACTTCCATCGGCTTTTTTCTCTACAGATAATAGAACACATTCTGTGATTGGATGGCTTCCTAACAAAGACGTGATGTTACATTATGAGTCTTGAAATCAAGATGGATGGATGTAGGAAATCGGGCCAGACAAGGGAGCCAGCTCCGGCTGAGACTGTCTGTATTTAGAAGCGGTTCAGTCAATTTTCTATGTAGGTTTTTGGCTTGTTTCTTACAGCGATGCACCACAGGGCATGCTCCTCTCTGATAAACAGCCCTGAAGTCTCCCATCCTTGTCGGCACCCAACCAAACGAAGGGCTGCCAGCCCTTTCTCCTGCTCCTCTCCAAGCAAGTGACTCCAAAGCAATGAGAGACATCCGATGTTATCAGCCCTGCAGTTTGCACAGAGCCACCGCCAAGGGCTCATGAACTCACAGCACAAAAGAGTTTTCTCTCCCCCACCAAAAGCTTTGTTTTGCACACATTTTATCACAATTTGGATCCAATTGAGTGTTGGAAAACAACATACTGGACTACAATGCGCTACTTAACGCTGCTTTGTTGAAAACGTTTAAAAAGATATCTGTGCTTACACAACACAATCGTGAGCCTTTGTCTTAAATGACTGAACAATTATAGTGTGTGATAATCTGCTGTGAGATTCCAGCCCTAGCTGCAAGCCGCTCGCAACTGTCTCTGACCTATTTGTGAAGCTGATGGATGTAAAGGTGAACAGACTCTTTTGTGTGCGGCCGCCTTTTGTGTTCTTCTAGAAGGACGCCGATGATTTTCTGCAGACTGTCCAACCATCTGAAATTCTAGATACAAACATTCACAAATACATTTAAAAGAAAATAAGACAGGTGAAAGAGTTGAGTTGAGTGAATTTCTGGGTTTTTGGTAGTGCTGCATCCATGATGACGGATGTGGACTTCTTGACCTGGTTACAAAGATTCCTCAAAGAGGCGCAGTTCAAAAGGCTGCAGAATTCCCCAGAATTCCCCTCTGCACATTTTGGTTCATTTACACTTACAGTGGTAGATAAGAGAACATCTAACGACTTCTTCCCTTTGCCTTGATTGCGTTTTTGATAGCATTGCGTTTTTGATTGCATTGCCTTGAGGTTGTCAGTTCAGCCTTTTTGAAACTATTTAACAGCTTTATATAAAGTGTTTCATTTGTGTTCATGGGCAGAACGTTGATGGTTTGGTTAATCAGAAAGAACTCTGCATTACACAATTTCTAGTTTGTTAATTCTCACTTCTGCACAAAATATGCTCGTTGTCTAGGTCTGGGTGAAACGACCTCAAATCGATATCACAATTAATTAAACATTTTACCTCGATCGCGATTAATGAACAATTATTTTGTTTTCGTTTTTTCCCATCATAGTTAACTGACATGGTCTCTACTGTAAATATGATGAATTATTTTGTGGTTATTTATTGAACATTTCAAACTGAAATCAAAGCATCGCTTGAAATGAAAACGACGCATTTGAGTTTTAAAGTAGAAATTCACTTCTCTTAAACAGTAGAAAATAAATAACTTGCATTTCTTGCAAACAGTTTTCCCGCAGTGTTTACATTTGACTTCTTTTTGTTCGGCGTCGTCTTCCCTAAAGACAAAATGGCTTCCATGTCGCGGATTGGAAGAGTCGTCACTTGACTCTGCCCTGAAAATCATCGAAATAATCAGCATGGGCAAGATCACATCAGTAAGAGATTCTGAAAGTCGGTTTTGATAAATTTTCAGAATTTTCCACAAAGCTTTTGAAACAGAGCAGGGGTAGATGAACGTGTGAAGGGAAAGGTTGCCTCTGCATTTACATGAGGGACATAACCAAGCACAGCTCTGTGTACGCTTTTGTTTGAGATTCTGGACCCACAGATTCTTTCTGTGATTAATTCATTGAAATGAACACGCTATTTTGACAGCCCTGGTGAAGATATCATCATCGTGTTTTATAGATGTTCATTACAGTTAAATGTACCGTAACAACAAATTATAGAACATCTGTGTTATTTCACTGCTGATGTTGAGACAGTTAAGGCGCCACAGCCTAACTGAAAGTCAGAAAGTTGAAGTTGTGGCGACAGGAAGTTAAGACGGAGCGTGTGGTTTTCAGAACATCCTCACACATGCATGTGTCTGGTACCCAAGTCCGGAAGGAGCGCAATACTCCTCAAGCTGATTGTTATCGTGTTGATTTTGTTAAACTGCTGATGTCATAAGAAAAAGAATGACTGCTTTCACAACAACCAGCACTTAGTAAAAAAAAGACATTTGAGTTTATGTTTTGAATTAGAGCTTGACTGTTATGGGATTTTTGGTGTCTGTACCGATATTGGGGAGAAAAATACAAAATCAGTCGGATATCTTTCTTAGATCTACGTTCGATCTGTAGAGATAGATACACATATTGAGTTGATCCTTCAAATGTAGTTATTAAACACTAAGTAGTAAGTAACTAAAGTATGCAGCATAAGGAAGATAAGATGGTTACGCAACAGGAAAGTAACTGCCCATGTATGTGCATCAAGGCTTGATACTGGAGGGTGATAATGCTTGTTAATGAAATGCTATTTGACTGGTGAAAATCTAGTAAAATCAGCACTGCGATTAAAATGTACAAATAAGATAATCGCTGGATGCTAATATTGGCCGATATTACCGGCTGGCCGATTAAGATTTTGGTCGGGCTCTACTATACACATAAATGAACTTTGTCAACCATACACGCACAACTCGCCAAAAGACACATCCCTCCTCGATCGTTTCTGCAAAATCATCTGTTTAAATTGAGGCAAAAAAACAACAACTGTAATCACAGAAAATGGCATGATGTATTTAATATTCTGTTTGTAGCCTCCCCTGTCAGTCAGGAAGACAAATTAGAAGCTTACATTTTGAGGGAACTATACACCCTTCAACATAAATTCCATACAGCCACATTAATCATGAAGATCACACTGTCTGGGTGAGACAAGGCTGCTCTGTGCAGCCACTTTTTAAAGAGCCAGAGAAGTATTCATCTTATATTATATTATATATTACTCGTCTTATGAAATTGGTAGCAAGTACAGTTGCTTGCTTCAAGCTTGTATTGTTAACAGTAGAGCCTGACCGATTAATCGGCCAGCTGATAATATTAGCTGATGTTAGTATATCGAGTGACTAATTTTATCTCCGACATGTGCAGATATTACTGGATTTATTCACCAGTCAAAAAGCGTCAGATTACAGTTTTTTATTACACAAGCAGTTTCTTTCACCAGCAGAGTGTGCCAATAATTTTATCGGTATCGGCCCCAAAAATCCCAAATTGGTGCGGCACTAGTTTACAGCGATGAAAATCACAAAACTCTGTGGGTTTAATTTCGCCTGTGTGTGTCTAAGAAAATAAACGTCAAACATCTTTGACATCAACCTGATGAGGAGAATTTCCCCTGCATACTCGCTTACAGCACCTGAATGTCTCCATTCAACCTTTCCCATCAAGTCTAATGAACGCAGTTTGGTGTGTCACCTCTCCGTCGTGCATACCATGAGCAGCTTCCACAGTGATCTCCAGTTTGGATACAGTATGCCTCTGTTCTGTGTGGCCTGCTGCAGTTATAAACTGGCTGCTCTGCCTAAACTAACCGGTCAGACATGTGAATGACACTAGTGTCTAATACCTCTACTTTTATTTATGGCAAGTTTCTCTCATAAATCCAAATGAAAGTAGACTCTTTTTATTTGAATAATCTCACATGCTGTAGTGTTGCAAAGTCATGCTCAACACCTTTATTGTCTGGTCTTTGGCCCTTTGAAGATGTATTAAAACCCTGCAGAAAACACATAGATTACATTTGGAAGCTTTAGATACTTCAGTTACCTCAATTTACTCTAGTTTACGGTGGACATTTTTCAGTCAACTAATCAACTCTGTCTTTCCTGTGGCAGGATGCACCAGCTTGGACTCAGCCCTCTGCGATGCTACTAGACAACGAGGATGGGTCAGAGAAAGAAATTACGCTGGTGAGGCAAACAAGCTGTGAGCCAATCCTTAAACACAGCCGCTGCTCCATCGACTGAACCAGCCATGCCCCTCCTACCCTCCTGATCCTCCACCCTGACCTCTGCACCTACCCTTGGATAAACCTAAAGCGGCCCCCGGCGACTCCTCGTCAAGTCAGCATGGCTACACCGTTCCTGTGGAAGCTGTCGTCCCAGAAGCTTGGCTTCTTCCTGGTCAGCTTCGGGTTCATCTGGGGCATGATGCTGCTGCACTTTACCATCCAGCAGCGAGCCAGCCATGAAAACAGCGCCGTACTGAGGCAACAGATCCTGGACCTCAGCAAGCGCTACATCAAGGCCCTGGCTGAGGAGAATCAGAGTGTCATGGACGGGCCCTATGTGGGTACTATGACGGCTTATGGTGAGTAGAAAGCTCTCTGTGAGGATCATGAAATTTCCTCTCATGCATGAGCAGAACGTAGGTGGTGGTTGGCCATCGGCTGTAGTCTTTGCGGTGTGTTCGAGTGCAACTTTTTGGCCAAGACAAAAGGTGGTGTTTCCACCAGTTCTTTGCTGTCTGCTCCTATGAATTGGATTAACTAATACTGATGGTCACATTACACAGCAGCCTCTGCCATCAGTGTGGGTGTGAATGGGAAGGTGTAACTGCAGTGTAAAAGTGCTATACAAGCTCAAGTCCATTTACTATACCAGGGGTGTGTGACCCTCTTCCTTTTGCCTTTATACTACTTGGATGCTTTCATGGCTTCTTGGAGCTTTTTTGCTTTCCACATCTTAGGTGGAAAAAGCTCTTCAGAAGTAGTCAACATTACGAGAGAATCACAGGAAATGCCCAAGAAATTCCACAAATGTAGACCGTTTGATCTGCCTTAAATTCATCTGGCATGTTTCATTTTTCTAAAGATCTTTTCAAGGTATTAAAACATCACAGAGATGCTCTTTACAAAGCTGTGAAGAACTCTTTTAACATCTTTAAAGTGGCTCAAATAGTTTCACTTGTTTGATTCTTGAGCAGACTCCATCTTGTCTATATACAAGGGGAAACAAGTCTTGGAGATTAAATGCTGAAACAGCTGCGTTTGGAGCATAATACAGTGGGTTCAGACCCTGTCAATAAGTTATTCATGCCATTAATAGACCTGTAAGGCTCGATAGGCGGCTTCATTAGAAACCTGAGATTGGAATTGATTGTTTTCTAATACCCAGAGAAACAGCAGGATACAGTAAAGCTCCTGGAGATTAAACCGCCCAGAGAATTTCAAGAAACAAGAAGAATAGAAGTGCATACTTGCTCGGGGTTTTTAAAACTGAACGCAGCAGGTTTATCTTTTGTAAGAGCATTAAACTGCTTGCTGGCTAACAATTTATACACACATTTACCCCGAACATAACCAAACTACTGTCAGTAAATTGTACTTTTGTAAAGATAAATTACACCTCTGATTTTAGTTTTCAGGGCTTTGCTTATGTTTTGCTTAACTTGCGTTCATAACCCGATATGTAGTATCAAATTTCAGATACCTAGGCCAAAAACCAAGTACCCAAAAATGTACAGATCTGGAATAAAATGTACAGATCTAAAAGTGCAGATGTGCAGATCTGAAAGAAATCACGGATCTAGATTTTTTTTTACAGAAATAGAAAAAAATGTACAGATATAGGGGGAATGAAGTTACTGCTGCAAAAATGTGTTGGTCTCTCGTTCTTCTATTTATTATTAAGAATGCAGTAGTTTCCAGCCAGCAAATAAATCAAGTTCATATTCAGTCAGGGTCACGATTCTATTTAGAATCTGGATGCTGGATTCATGATTCAAAGTATTTTTGAATCATACTTCAGGATGTACTCCAGTCATCTGTGACACTGGCTGAGCCTTAGCACTTACCAGTAAGCAGGGAGTGACTGATTAGGCAAAAACAAAAAAAATAGATTATAAATCTCAGAAGATAAGAATCTCAATTTTTACATAAATCGATTGTTTTTCCCCCTCGTCTATTGGTTATGGTATCAGATAGGGGAACAACGGCCAATAACATATTTTGGACAATAACCAAGCCCAAAAATTGTGCCAGCATCAGTAAATATATCATTCCAATAACAGGATCAGACGACTTCATGGATTTCCACAGATACATGGTCTTGAGCTTCCAGGGAGCAGTGTCCTGTCAAGTTAGCTTTGTTCCCTAGTATGATGGATTAATTTCCATGCAGCTGTCGGAGCTGCAGCTCAGTCCCCTGACCTCCGTCCAATATCACATGAAAATCCATTTCATGTCCTTGATTAGATCGGGAGGCAGCAGGATACTTTGGGCTTCCTGTATTCACTCACTCGGGTGATGATTTGCCCTGATATGATTCCTAATGACTTTAAAGGGAGAGGGTTTCCTCCTCTGCTACCCATAAATGACCCATCAAATTTTAATGCATTTAAATTGAATATAAAGTCCCATGGTGGTCCATTTACAGCAGTGCCTTTTTAGTTGGGGTAATTGTAAAAACACAAGCATTTTTTTAAGACTTTGTTCTGAGGAACTGAGACCCAACCCTGAAACTCAGGATGCAGGGAGGACTGAAGGCGTGTTGTTGGCAATGCTAACGTTATCCATGCTTGGCTAACCTGTTTGACATTGTTTACAGACTGCCAAATTTCAACCCTCAATGCACTTTTGGTTCACTTCCTTTGTTTGGAACAAGATGCGTCTCACCTATGCTGAACCGAACTGAACTCTGGTGCACTTGGAAGTGAACCGAGACCCCTGTTTTTTTGTTGTTGTGTCTTTTTAAAGATTTTTGGGTGGGGGCTTTTTGTGCCTTTATTGGAGAGATAGGACAGTGGATAGAGTTGGTAGGTGAGGTGTGTAACCAGTCTTCTGACTACTCAAAGCGCTTTACACCACATTCACACATTGATGGCAGAGACTGCTACAAAAAGTGTCCATCAGTATTAACTCATCCCATTCACCCGCACCAGATGTTACTTATCTGAAACACACCTCAAAGCTGACATACAGGTTGACTCTCTAGATTTCACATTTGTTATTAGTTACTCTTGGCAGTATTTTCTACCTGCTAATGATATCCTGATTGTTCATATTATTAATCTTCACATCAGTTGCCATATGCATTGTGTCCTTCAGCATCAAACACCAACCTTCATGAAGCACAAACATCAATCTTTGTGTTGCTTGTTTTGTGTGAGCCCCAGTCCAGAACAGAACATTCATGTTGTGATTGTTTTGGGACAGGAAAGGGCAGCATGTCCTTATACTTTTAAGGATTAGGAGTCAGAACTATTTTGTATTTTGCTCGAGTAATGGCTGAAATGACGAGTTCTTTTCTTGTGTTGTTCACTGAAAATTGTGACACTGACTCCAGCAGGCCACCTGACACCGTGCCTTGTTCCTGCACAGTCTAGCGGCTATTGTGGATTTCTTTTGTGGCATGGCGATGGACACATATCACACTTTGCTCTCTCTCTCTTTGTGTCAGCCAGCTCCATAGGGCCAGTATCAGAAATCAGGGGAATACAGCTAGCCCTTAGAGCCCACTGGGTGTGGTGTAATCTTATATTGCTCTTCTAATCCTATCTGTCCTCTCTTGGGTGGAAGGTTACTGGGTGATTCTTTTGCTTCTGTCTGCTATTCATATCCGACTTAATATCACAGAGACTGAGCGGCTGGGCTGGAGCTTCCCTCACTGCTGACAATAAACAATAGAGATCAGTGCCGAATGCCTTGGGCTTATGTTCCCACCTCTCTTTAATTAAGAGCTTAATAAAGAATCCCAGCGTTCAGATTATTATCTTACATGACACTATTATTAAGTGCAAAGTTAACTTTAGTACTTTTAACCGCTCCAGGATTTGTTTTGCAAATTGCAAACAGAAATATTGAGACAGGCAGAAATGTGTCCCAAAGTGTGCTTTAAGTCATCCAGTTACCTGGCAGCTCTGCTCGTGTTCACAGGGACAAGTGGAAAGTCACAGTGCCACGGTAATGCTTTTATAATATACTGGCTAATGAAGGCCTCTGACTCACATTTTGTTTTTTTTGCTTTCAGTGTCACATTGGGAGAAGTTCCTCTTTTGTTGGCTTGAACATGAAGAACTTTTCAATTCAATCAGTAGAAAGATGAGACACCCCACCTTAAATGATTTATTTTGACTGCACAGGCATCGATTTTTAATTACAGATTAAAGACTGTTTGTCGTCTCCGGTGTTGCAGTTAAAAGTACAACAACATAAAACACAATGAAACCTGAATTGTCATCTTCAAAAAGGGTGTTGACTTTGTGTTCTCAGTGTTTTTTAAGTTGGAACAAGATGCGTCTCACCAAGCTGAACCGAACTGAACTCTGGTGCACTTGGAAGTGAACCGAGACCCCTGTTTTTTTGTTGTTGTTGTTGTTGTTTTTAAGATTTATTTTTGTGCCTTTAATGGAGAGATAGGACACTGGATATAGTTGGAAATCAGAGAGAGAGTAGGGAATGACATGCAGGAAAGGAGCCAGAGGTTGGATTTGAAAATGGGCCACCCGCTTTGAGGACTATAGCCTCCATACATGGGGCGCGCACACTAACCACTGCACCACCAGCACCAATTTACAAATTAATTTGTGCCAATTTGCAGCACTGTTAATACTGTGGAGGCAGCTAATAGGAAAACAACTTTTTATTTACTAGGTACACTGAATCTAAGCTCACAGCACATTTAAGGGGCCTAGCGTTGGTTTTCTTTCTTCACTGGTTGAGTTTCTGGAACGCGAGTGCAGCCGTACATGCGTCACATGAGAACTAGAAGATTGTTGAGGTAATGACTAAGACTTGTCTTCACTTATGACTCAGTTGACTCAGATGGCTTACGTTGATGAAAGTTTATACATAAGAAGAATACTCATAAGGAGACATGGATCAACATCACTCTTGTGTACTCGTGTATTGCTAAACCACATCTACAGAACTCTTCGAAAGGCATCGCATATATCCCAAAAGACATTATCATTATCAGGGTCGTGTTACATTGACCCACCAGACAATAAGTCTTCCAAACATCCTTGCAGATATCAGGAAAACAGTGTACAGGAACAGGTATTGTTCATTATCCAGAACAGATAAGGCAGCAAGGAGAAAAGCAAATGAAATCTAGGTAAATATGAAAATGAATGGACATATACACATCTACACAAAGACAAATAGATGCACTATATCAAAGTGAATCGAGGGTTTGGTGCCTGTTTTGACTCAATGTTGATAAAGTGATGGAAAATACCATTCTGTGTCCGTCTGCTGAGTCTTATCTTGAATTTGACCTTTGTGCATTTCCTTGTATGACTTCCTGTCTGGCTCGTCCTGTTCTGTCCAGCTCCGTCGAAAATAGAATCATAGCTTATTTGAAAATGGAGATGGATGGGCCCTTGCTGTGGAAACCAGATTATTGGCTAGATTGGCAGTAAACGGCGGCCCGTGCAGAGTATATGGACATTGGCAGTGAGAGTCAAGTTTTTATGAATTCTCCAACTAAGCTACTTATACATAGAATTATCATCATGGGTTTCACTGCAATACATTGTGTAGACTTAACCTTAAGTTTCTCTTGGATGTATAGCCTTAAGTCAGTGATATCAGGCCATTGGTGACCATTTGGAAGTGTCAAGGCTATTCCTCCAAACATTTCCTGTTTCTCCTGCTTTTTGCTGCATCTCAGCCCGCAAGCTCGTCCATATCAGACAAATGCTCTGGCGCTCAGCTTCCCACAAAATCAGGGCCGGTGTGCTCTGCCAAGCCCTCGTTGTGCCCTTGCCAGTCTCTCTGACGCGATCAAAACTGGCGTGTCAAATGCATTACGGTGAGGGGGAAAATGTGGCGCCCTGCATGTGATAGACAAGCTGCAATTATCACCACCCGAGGAAAGTAAGCGCGCGATTTGCTCTGGATAGCTCTGTGCACTCATAAGCCGATGCACTGATAGAATAACACGAGTCTGGGATGATTACAGAGCGCTGCACTGTATGTAAATATATATATTTTTGTGCCTTTAATGGAGAGAAAGCTACACAAGATTCCCACAAAAAATGCAATGACCCATATGAAACAATCTTTAGCTTTACATCCCAATAAGCCTCGAGCTGATGGCCTGATGAACCGCCCCCTGGTCAACACAGTAGTTGTTTTTACCAGACCACAGGCATGCAGCTTAAATCACCTGCCTGGGGTGATAATGCAATCAGGAAAAGCTTTTTATTAGTCATGTGGAACCTTTTTGTTCCCGTTACACAGATACAAATAGAGAGTGTTGGTTCAAAATCTGGGTATACCGGACACTTTACATATTCATATCCAGAATCGAACGCTGTTATGAAGGCTGCAAAACAACAATCAATGCTTCTGTGTCTTTCTCATGGAATTATTGATTGTTTCCCCTCTGAATTTCATGAACAATTTGGGTCAGAGTTGTTTTTGATGTAGCTGATGTCTGAACCCCGCCTTAACCGCAGCGCTGGTTCATTTTGACACCCCCAGAGGCCCTTTGCACCTTTACGAAAAAACTAAAGACCCAGCTCTTTCATGAATACCTACGACGTTAATGATGATGAAGACAATGGTTTTGTTGATAACAACGACTTATAAGATGGTTTCTATACTGATTAGAGCTCTCAAGAACTGCCGTCAATGTTGTGCTTTGCCTCTGGTCACTTCCTGTCAGCACCTGTGTGTCCAATCGGACTCAAAGCTGATTCATACTGTACTTGTGTTTGGATGTACTTCAATCGTCTGCTTTCCGCTCTGACTTTCAGACTTGAAGAAGACCCTCGCGGTGTTGCTGGATAACATCATGCTGAGGCTGGGCAAGCTAGAGTCCAAGGTGGAAAACATTTACAATGGCACGGGGGGCAATCTGACCAACGGCACCAGCACGGCCACACCCAGTGCTACCAACCCTGAAAAAGTCAACGTGGCAGGTATGTGTGTTTATCTGCTTTTCTGAAGAGCCAGAGTTTGTGTGCATGCTGCGCAGCTTACAGGATTCATCTGGATTTGTGGACTTCTTTAGATAAATGCTGAAATCTCTAGAAGGATTGAAGGATTGACGGCTTCGGAGCGTCTTTATAGCATGTATTGGCGAAGTTTTGCAGTGTTGCTTCCTCCAGGAACCCCTACCCTTTTATGAGGTTATTAAAGTGCACGTAAACATGAAGTAGCCGAGACCAATTAGAGACGAGGAAAAAGACGACTGTGGCTTTTTTCATGACCCTCGTTTTTATTGAAAATAAATTTCCATAGAACGAAAAACATTCCCGAGTCATACAAACGACTAAACGCACGGCTCACTCGAAGCTCTTCCATAGCACCACACCGCAAACCCTTGGACATAATTCAAATAAGACCTCGTTCACGCTGCATGACCCTTTTATTAGTTTTCATTGATTTTCCTGCCAGCTTTCAGATGATGAACTCAGGCCAATTGAGAGAGAGAGCGAGGTGTTGGTTTTTCTTGCTCTCAGTGTTTCTGTGCAGCACTAAACAGCAGGAATGTGAAGAGTTTAGCAGAATTGCAGAAATGGATAAGACTGATTGTGTTGCATTCAAATGGATCTAATCTAATGAGAGCTGCTGGATTTGAACCCCAAGATTGAACTTTTGTTTTGAATAGCAATAAGTTATAGATTAACATTAGCAACACGTGTGAATGGGTTTTTCACATGCATCCTTCCCCCCTTCATGATGAATGTTAACTGTTAACTGTTTCTGTTAATAGCCCGTTTCTGTGAACAGCAAACCACATATTGCAACATCTCGTCACAGCATCTTTAAACACCTGGTGTCATGTCTATCTTCGGTCCACCGCTGACCGCATGAATAGTGTTGTACTCTATGTTGAGTTGTCCTTGGGTCCTTTGTGCTTTTTTCTTATTTTGACCTTGATGCTTGAAATAAACTGAGATTATTTAAATCACAATAAAAAATGTTTTCAGTTTCTTTTTAAACAGAAGCGATTATTGTTAAAAAAAAAGAAGTTGACTGTTTACAGAGCTCAGGCGCTAAATCGATTTAGTTCAAGTGTATTGGCAGTCGCTCTGATAATCCTCTTTTCTTTAAAGCAAAAATGTCAGAATTACCAGTTCAAGCTTTGATATTTGACTGTTTATCTGTCTTATGTTTTGGACTTTTCATCAGATAAAACACATTTTCTGAAGTGGCTCCCTTTTACTTGGGGGAACTGTGATTGGCATTTTCACTTCTTTCATACTATAAAAGACGAAACGTGGAGCCCACATGATTAGAACATGTATCATGTGCACAATGTAAAGCCTACTGGAGGAGACAGTGTGAGCATGAGTTAGTCCTCTGTTTGGTTTCAATCGAGCCATTGTGGACACTAATCTGATATCCCTTTGTCAAAAAGCACTCTTGGCCATCTCTCCTGTGTTTCAGAGTGATAATACATGAACCCTGTGACATGTCAATAAACTTGCTGGCTTTAAACTTCCAGCAGTACTCTTGAGATCCATCATTTAGATCCTCAAGTGCAGGTCAAGCTGACAAAGTGGCGGCCGCGCGTCCCTCTTGGCAATGGAACTAAAGGACCCAACGCTCCAGAGTCTCCATTGGAGCATGTCTCCTGTCTTTGAGTGGGTGGCAGGCAGTGCTGTGTGCCAACTCCACTTGTGCTCCTCCCTGACTGGAAGGCAATTACAGAGATACCAATCTGGACAGTGAGGGGGAACACGCCTGGCGTTCAGAGGAGCTGCTATCAAGATGGAGCTGATCAGCTACCCTGGGACCGCACTTTCCCACCTCGATTGTGTACACTTTTATCTCAGCCGAGGACTCTGGCATGTTTGAGACAATATCTGCATCTTTTGACTAGTCGAAGTTTATTTCTGGGTTTTTCCTGGATTCTGTCAGGGTTGGAGAATTGGAGGTAGAGAATTGGAGGTAGAATGAGTCAAGCTTCCAGATAGATTCAGTCCAAATTTCCCTTTTCCATTTCCTACCAGTATGAGTGACCACTGAGATAAACAGTTTGCGGCTTTAATTCTCAAGTTTAGTGGAATTAAACCACTGGGGAAGAACACGGCGCAACAAAATGATACGATAGGATTGGATACGATACAGCAGGATTGGAAATTATACAACATGATACAAAACGATATATGATACGGTATGTCACTCGGGCTGATTTAAAAAAATCAATTCATCAATGCCATGCAATGATTATTGAATGATTCCCAATTCAATATTCGATTTTGTTTTCCCGTTGTAATGCCACCCCTCTCCACTAGGGGCACTGTGGGTAGTATGAATTTTTGTTGTAATGACGCCCCTCTCCACTAGGGTTAGTTAGAATTTTTGTTGTAATAACGCCTCTCTCCACTGGGGGCACTGTGGGTAGTGTGAATTTTGGTTGTAATGACGCCTCTCTCCACTAGGGGCACTGTGGGTAGTGTGAATTGTTGTTGTAATGACGCTTCTCTCCACTGGGGGCACTGTGGGTAGTGTGAATTGTTGTTGTAATGACGCTTCTCTCCTCTGGGGGCACTGTGGGTAGTGTGAATTCAGGTCAGGCACAATTTTGCACTTTAGATCATACTGTAATTTCATGTTTTATTCTTTTTTTTATTTAAGAATAATGAACCAATAAAATACATTTTTGAGTCAGTTTGATTCAAACAAATACAAACACATCATTATTTAACAAATATAGCATGGTTTTCTTTTTAACAAGGTATGGCAGATTAGTACCACATCTATAATATTGGTTTAGTCATCTAAATACATTTATCTCCTAGTTTCTATAGGCTGATTCACCTGGCTATGACCTGTTCCTGTTACTATCCATCTAAAAACAATAAATGATAGCTACAAGTTGTGGTTACATTACATTAAACAGGTGTTTCATTTCCTCAGAGAACACACTACACAGCCCTTTTCTCAGTCACTACTCTGCAACCTGTGCTTATCTGGACACTTTCTGCTGACTACTGTAACAAGCAATGGAAAGAATGCACTTCACCTTGCCCATGAGGCATTCCCACTCTCGTCGTCTCTAAACCGGAAGGTCGAGGGTTCAATCCCCAGCTTCTTAAGTAACATGTCCGACATGTGAATGGATTTGTTATACTCATGGACACTTAACACAGCAGCCTCTAGCATCAGTGTGTGAATGTGTAGGTGTGACCTGCGGTGTTTAAGCACTTTGAGAAGTCAGAAGACTAAAAAAAAAAACCCGCTGTGCAAGCTCAAGTCCATTTACAATTTTACATGGTTTACCCCTGATGCTGTGATCCCTCTTTTGGCTTTAAATAAATGGTGCTCAGCTTTCTTACCGTTAGACTAATTAGACTGAATTTAAATTTGTGTTTAACAAACTTTGTAATTAGTCACTATTAGGAACATCTATATTTTAGATTTGAAAATCATGAGCCATGCTTATTAGGAATGTGTAAACTCAAACTGTCATGTGTCAAAAATAATTCAAATTTTTTGCACTTTAAGAGGATCATGTTCAATTATTTTGAATATTCTTCCTCTTTCTTTCTTAATTCCTCCTCTTTCCTCCTTAATTCCTCCTCTTTCCTCCTTAATTCCTCCTCTTTCCTCCTCTTTCCTCCTTAATTACTCCTCTTTTTACTCCTCTTTCCTCCTTAATTCCTCCTCTTTCCTCCTTAATTACTCCTCTTTTTACTCCTCTTTCCTCCTTAATTACTCCTCTTTCCTCCTTAAAACATGCAAGATATTTAGTTTATAAATAAGTTTTATTGTCCCGTGTTTCTTCTCTGAACTTCAACATAAAAAACCTTCTATCCTAATGATTAAAAAATAAAACATGTCCAATTTATCCGACCTTTTTTAGACGCAGTGCAGATCCTAAGAATTTGAGTTTACATGAAACAGCTTCACCATTTCATCATACACTCCACAACAAAGCCTCTGTTCTCAGCCTCATGTTGACATGTGATCTTTAAAGCATTACAACGGCCATAGTTCTCTCTCCCCCCCCCCCCCCCGTTATTTACAGCTGCTGATGTGAACCAACAGCTGTGCTCACACTGCTGAACAATGTGTCTCTCTTCTTATTTGTAATCTCACAAAAATATTGCCTGCTCTCATTGCCTTACTCTAGTCATGGCACATTTTTTATCTTATCTCGTGCGATGCTTGCTATGTCTATCACAGAGATAGCTTTCAGCCTTGTGTGCTGCTGCATTATGCAAAAGAGCAACAGGCACAGAAGCCCCTTTATCAGATCAAAACAAGTCGATCTGGTCTCGGTTTGCTGCTTAGCAGGAGGCAGATTGGGACTCGTTCTGTGCTTTGCCACGTTTCGCTGATGTGGCTAATCAACCTCTCCAGCAGTGTTTCATCTGTGGGCTGGACCATGGCATAGAAATGTAATCTTCTCCCCCACACACACAGGCCCAGAAACAGATGAAATGAACGGTCTGTGGTTTGCAGCCGTCTAACTCTCACCCTCGCTTCCTTCTTTCTCAATTTTTTTGGACCCTCTGTGTTAAATTTCTCCACTCTGGAAGACAGCAATGTGCCTTACATCTCAGCCATACTGCAACAGATTTTTGGCAGAGTTGTGTCTTTTTGAAACTGTTAGCTTGTCCCTAAATAGAGACCTGTTCTGTCACAGGTCTGGGCATCTTCACTGCGTTATCTCTTTCAGCTATTGATCGGCCTGCTTCTCGCTTTGCAGTTCACAGTGAAAGATGAGATCCAAGGTCTCAATATCAACAAAGGAAAGGGACAAGGACATGGATTCTACTGGGGATTGCTGCTAACCTCAGGATCCTATTGGTTGCTGCTCATGAAGTCATATTATCCCAACTTTAAGGAGGGCAGATGGTTGACATTGAGGTTTCTTTTTCTGCAAAACCTACAAAATGTTATCAGCATACAATTTGAATTTCAATACTGAAACAATCTTGTGAGAGTCTTTCCAGAGTCTGTT